TGGCTTTGTTCAGGTTTTTAAGAGTTTAAATGGGAGTGGGACATCTCTGCAAGGCAAAGTCCTCTCACCTATCCTTCAACCCTCTTCCTCAAACCTAAAATTGGTCTAAAATAGCTGCTGGGGAGAAGTTGTTTTAAGAGAGCGGTTTGTCCTTCCCAGAGGTATGTTGTTCCCATCACCACCCTCAAAACACTGAAAACACACCCACACACAAACACAGGCAGAAAAATATCAGCCTCATCCCTTTCAGTGGCATAAACACATCAGCAATTTCTGCAGTCTTACAAACTCAGAACTGCAACTTTTGACATTCACCCCCCACAAACATTATCCATGCCTACATTTAAGAGAACTAGTAACAGCTAAATCAAATAAAGTTATATGACAGGTTGGGGAAAGATTATTTTGATTTGCAGGGTGAAATTCATCTTTTCTGAACAAAAAAATCTTGAACCTGGCCTGTAATGACATCAATAAGAGTTATCTTGAACACTTAGGATAATGGCATTCCAAAATGGAAAATGTTTTTCAAAAACGTATTATGCATTCCTCAAAAAATGACATACAAATTAGAATATTGAACAAGTGTTCTCAAGGTTCACATGGCAGAAGGATTTTGTATATTCCAGACAAAATTCAGGACGTCAGCAATAATACAAGCATTTTGAACTGAACCTCATAATGCACTGGAAGCTAGAATTCACAAAACAGTTATCCATAGGCTAATGCTTCTATGTGTATGGAGGTATATCTGTATGGATATACATGGACTAAGTAGATTTTTGTCTTTCCACTGTTATGACAGCCTTCAGCTGAAGAAGTCCATTAAGATATATTATCTACAAAAGAAATTGCCAGAAGCTACCCACAAGTCTCATGTAAAAACACACTCAAGGGGAAAATTTATCATACTGTAAGAGTAATGGAAGTTGAAGCAGCACTGCTGTTAATACAAGTCAATGTATTGCCAAACATTTCTGAGAAAAGACTCCTGAGTACCACTCTTCCTAAACAGAAGATACAGATGCCACTAGCAAAAGACAATATACATTCAGACTAAAACTATTCTACAATTAATTAGCATGTAAATATAGCTTCAAAAGCCCAGCTGTACTGAAGTGGCTGCTACTGAATGCTAGCACTGGAAGAATGCCCTGTTCAAATTAAGCTTCTCTGGTCAGGCCCAGATATAGAATTTTAAGACAGAAGCACTACTACCACAGCATTTCCATAAGTTTTATTCTATTTATTTTATTTTTAGTCACATTTATATGGCCGCCCATCTCACACAAAGCGACTCTGGGTGGCGTACAACAATTAAATAAAACAGCAAATAGATAAACAATCATTATAAAAGGATAAAAAGTAATTATTAAAATAAAAAATATTATCAGAGAGTTTAAAATATACAAACCCCATAGAGAAAGCAGAATATCAGTCATAGTGGAGCCATCTGAGATTGTCTCTGGTTCCCAAAGACTCCTAGGCCTGATGACATAACCAAGTCTTGAGGGACTTCCTAAACAATAGCAGGGAAGGAGAGAGCCTAACTTCAGGTGAGAGAATGTTTCACAAGGAGGGAGCCGCAGCAAAGAAAGCCCATATCCTGGGACCCACCAAATGCAAGTCCCTGGCCAAAGGAACCCATAGCATACCTTCCCTGCCAGATCTAATGGGATGGGCTAATGTAATCAGGGAGAGGTGGTCTCTCAGATAACCTGGCCCCATGCCATGAAGGACTTTAAAGGTCAAAACCAGCACTTTGAATTGGACCCAGAAACGAACTGGCAGCCAATGCAGCTCGCAAAGCAGAGTGTAATATGTGCTCTTCTAGGAGCACACAAAACTGCCCGTGCCGCCACATTCTGCACCAGTTGAAGCTTCCAGATACTCTTCAGGGGCAGCCCCATGTAGACCGTATTACAGTAGCTCAATCCGGAGGTGATTAGGGTATGAATGACTGTGAGCAGAGCCTCCTGCTACAGGAAGAGGCGCAATTGGTGCACAACACAAAGCTGTGCAAAGGCCCTTCTAGCCACAAATGCCATCTGCTATTTGAGCAGGAGCCACAAGTCTAGGAGGACCCCTAGATTGTGCACTGGGTCTGTCTGGGGCAGTGCCACTCCATCCAGCACCAAAAATGGTATAGTCCTAGAACCAGCAGGACCCAAAACCGAAAGCCACTCAGTCTTGCCAAGGTTCAGGTGAAGCCTGTTGTTCCCATCCAGACCCTCACAGCCTCCAGGCACCGAGATAAGGCATTCACAGCATCACTTAATTCACCAGGGTAGAGATGTATAGTTGGGTATCATCAGTGTACCCACCCTGTGGTGACAGATGAGCTCACCCAGCGGCCTCATGTAGATATTAAATAGGAGAGGGAAGAGCACCAAACCCTGCAGCACCCCACATAGTAGGAGCTGAGGGTGGGACCTCTCCTCCCCAATCATCACTGACTGGAATTGACCTGGAGAAAGAAGGCAAACCAATACAACACTGTGCTGCCCACCCCCAGTCCCCTGAGTCAATCCAGAAGGATACCACGGTTGATGATACAGAAAGCCACCGAGAGGTCATGCATGGCAAGGACGGATGCAAGACCTCCATCCTCCCCACGCCAGAGATCATCCAAAAGTGTGACCAATGCTGTTTCTGTCCCATACCTGGGTCTGAATTGACTGAAAAGGATCCAGATAATCTGCTTCATTCAAGGCTCTCTGAAGGTGTTGCACAACTACCTTCTCAACCACCTTTCCCAAAAAAGGGAGGTTACATAGTGGATGAAAATTGTCCAGTATGGTGGGATCCAGTGATGGCTTCTTGAGGAGAGAGTGCACCAAGACCCCTTTAAGAGGTAAAGGAACAATCCCCTCCCTCAAAGAAGAATTAACCACTGCTAGAGCCTACTCACATGACATCCCCCGGGCCGCTTTCGCAAGCTAGGAGAGGCATGAATCTAGAGAGGGGGTGGCTGAGCTCACAGTCCGAAGGACCCTGTCGACTTCCTCAGGTCCAACAGGTTCAAGCCGTTCCCAGATAACAGGGCAAGACTCCACCCCAGGCATCTCCTCTGGACCTGCAAC